AGATAGATAGAGAACAAGTAAGAAAGAAATGGAGAGAGAGAGAGGCAGACAGGAGATAACCACGACAGAGAGAGATGCAATCGGATGGAGAGAGTGAGAGATGGATTAGCATGTCAGAGACTCCCTACATAACATTACTCTTGTTAAGTGCGCAATAGCTCATCGATCAGGCTTCTACCGCCCGCATCCAGGGCTCTTCCCTCCACTTCCCTTCCCGTAATCCATAATATCATCACAGGCCTGAACCGCCTGACATGCTGCAGGAGCCCTCTATGGGAAAGTCTGAGCAAGGGGCTGATCAATAGCCATAGAGCATGTGCAGCGGATGCAGGGTGAGAAGCAAAGCGTTGTTGACATCCTTCTCCCTTTACTCATCTCTCTCATTCATCTATACAGTATGGATCAGAAGGGGGAAAACTGGACCACGCCTGACACCTCCACCCTCGGTGACTCTCGTTCCCCTCTGCCTCTGTCTGTCACTGTCTCCTCGTGTCTTTTTGTCTCTCTATGACACCGTATCTGTCTTTCCATCTATCTCCCTCTCCCTCGCCTCTTTGTCTCACTCTCTGCCGTGCTCCCCTCTCAGCACCCGCTCCATTTATCGGGCCGTGTCATTGAGCCGCGTGTGCCGTCCCTGTCAGCAAAACGGCTGGCAGACTGTCTTCATTTCCATGCTGAAGGATGCAAGGCCAGCGTGGCAGTTGTGAGAGCTATCGACTGGGATCCGTCAAAGCCCTCCCTGTAGGGAAGCTGCTGCCGCCTGCCTTCCTAGTTGGCGGCCATTCTGAGCTTGTCCGTTTGACTCTTAAAAATGGCTACATATATGCTGTAGCTGTAGTTTTGGTCCTTCTCCTTTGTCACGTCCACCTGTCATATATTTTTCTATTGTAACTACTCCCTGTTTTTGCTTCATCTTTATCTATTTCTAGAACACTGTCCCTTGTGCTGCCTGTCTTTTCCTGTATCTGTCCGTGTCTTTCCACGTCTCTCACTCTCTCCCTCCCTCCCTCTTTTTTCACTCTCTTTCCCATAAGACACAGCCTCCTCAGTTTTGGGCAGACAGGTCAAGCTGGCTGATGGGAATCAGACAGTTGTTGATCCAATTAGAGATCCCCTCGAGCAGCAGAGTACAGCAGAATTCCAATAAAATACTGTCCTCTTTTTTTCCTTTACCTTATTCTTTCCAAATATGTCCTCGCAGTAACACACAGCGAGCCATGCAAATGTCTTTTCAGAGATGCTTAGCTCATGGAACTTCAAGCCTAACAACCCGTAGGAACCTTTAACCAAAGTTGTCATTGAGAAGTGGAAAGCTTCCTTTGACTGAAGCTTTTTCAGAGTGACATATTTTGGTACAAGTGGCTGAACAGTTCCCTCTGTTCGCCCTCTAGGGCTTTGCATACTCTCAGAGCAAAGCAAGGCCAGCCCAGTTTGACTCCAAGCCCTTGTGAGAGGCCTCTTTTGTAACTGTCTTGATGGTGAAAAGCTGGCTGTTTCACTGAGCAAAACCTTTTACCCAGCCCTGATACAGTTCGGGGCTATTCTTGCATTGATTTCACCATTCAGGCCAAACAGATGTACAGTCCAATTCTGAGCAGAGGATGAATGTATGATGTGCTGACATTGATGTATTATAATGCATGTGCTTATTTGCATTCATGGATCAAGATGCTATTCATCTGGCCTTGCGAGACCATCCGGAGCACGTAAGCTCTCTTTGTCTACAGATACCAGAAAAGAAAAGGAATGGTGAGATCTGGTGTTCTCGCAGCGCTGGCTGTTATTCCGCAGACAAAGGGCTGATTTCCCCCAGATGCCGGCCCATAGGAAACATCAGTAATAGCAATAATTACTTATGCACTGAGCGCTAATAAGTGAAACTTGCAACAAGCTTCAATTTAAATGGCTATTGTAATTACACTGTCTTGTACAGAAGTACATCTGCATGCACTTATTGGTTCATTTTACTGAGTGGTAATGTGTCTATTGATGAGCAGAAAGCCATGACTATCTCTTCACAGCCAAATGCACAGTGTGGAGTATGACTGAGCCGAGGTTGTGATCAAATGAGGCTCGCAGCACAGACGTCTTACTCTCACTGAACTGTCTAGCGCTGATCCTCTTGCCCCGTGTATTTGTGTGTGCATGAGTGCGGTTGGTCTTGGTGTGCGCACTCCAAGGCACACACACATGCATATGTCTGTGGTCACCCCCTCATTAACGTGTTTACCAGTTCCTACGGCAACCCACATAAAAAACAATTAGGAGTCTCCACGGAGCACCTTGTTATCGGCAGTTGTTGACCTCTGACCAAAAACAATTTATGTCTTTTTCCCATAATTTAGGATCATTAAAGGCCAGCAAATTGGTTCATAACTGAATCATTTTCTTTGCAAGCGGCCCCCTACAACACACACTCTGACTGGAGCCAGTGTGAAATGTGTTGTACTTGGAGCCTGTGGCCTAAAGATGCAGCATCAGCAAGCTAGTATGTACAGCCAGTGGCCTAGTTTATTCTGGGCTGTGCCAGTGATGACGGTGTGTGGTGAGAGGTCTAAGAAGGGTTTTTAGGCTGGCAGCAGTTTGTATTGTGTGTGTGTGTGTGTATGTGTATGTGTATGTGTATGTGTATGTGTATGTGTATGTGTATGTGGGTCTTTGTGTGTGTTTTCAAGGGTTATAGCAAAGAGACTTTAAGGGCAGGAGGAGGGTGTGTGCGTCAGGGCTATAGAGGGGTGAGTGTGTTCACAGGGTGGGTGGGGTGGTGCGAGGCTGTTGATCTTGGGCTGAAGTCTTAAACAAATTGGCTGGTTCGCTGTGGGAACTGGGGATGTAGTCAGTGGGGGGAACATCAGCGTGCTCTGTGTCAGATTCTCCAAATTTCTCCGATAGCTAATTATCTCCCAGAGTGCCAGAGGAGAGGTTTGCAAGCGGTTTTGTTGTTTTTCTTCTTCAGCATTTCTCTCACTCTCCCTCCCCAGGCCATGTTCTCCTGGGCTGACTCTGAGCGGTTTGGTCCCACAGTAGCCCCTAAAGCCACACTAACACAAAGAATTTTGAACGTGTCTGTCCCCGTTGCAGCACTATAGCCGCATAAAGGAACACCCAGCCATCTGCTTATTTGCATCTCAGACACCTACTGAAAGAACAAAATCATCCTCTCCGAACGTGACGCCATTTGAAGTGGTGACATGTCAGAAAGTGGAAATGAATAAATAAATCATCTCGTTAGCTCATTAACACCCAAATCATTTCCTCCAACTGGAAACCCCCCCCCCCCCGTCATACGTTCGCTTGACTTCAGGTTGTTTTATTTGCTGTCACTGCCTTGTCAATCCTGACAGCATTTCTTTCTCTCCTGTCTTATGATGCTGCATTATTATCGAGGCCTAAGCGGCTCTTAACATCTGGGAGTGTAGATTAAAGCATCAACAATTCTCTCGGTGGGTGTCATCTCTAGCACGGCGTGATAAAAGGTCCCATTGCTCACCTCCCGCAGACAGCCCCATCATCGGCCTGTGTCGTCACAGAGCGGCCGTGTCACGAGCTGCCAGGCCTGTAATGCGAATGCGTTGACAGGAGAGCGGTCGGGTCCCTTCTAAGCCACCAGGTGCAGGGCAGCAGTGGTTGAGTGTTTGGACAAGCTCGCTGGCTCAGTGCGTTCTGTACTGTTGCAGAGCTGTACAGCCCTCCCAGGGAATGAGTGTTTGATCCTGAGTGTAGATTCTCACTCTACCTCTGTTTTCCTGTTGTTTCTCTGTCAGTTACTCTGCCTCTATCTCTTTCACTCTCTTCTCCTTTTTTTTTTTTTTCTTGTTCTTTACTCCGTCTGTACTTGTGTGTTTCTTTTAGTTTATCCAACTGTCTCTCATCCCCTCACTCATCTCCGCAGTCTGCCTCCAAAGAGATTCCGATCTCGCTGACGCAGACTGAAAAGGGGGACGGACACTGCTAAGACCCCAAGATCTCCGGCCAAAAGAGCCACCCGTTTCTCACGAGAAAAGCTCAATAAGAACTTTTTTTTTCCTTTTCTCTGCTTTTTTTTTTTTTTTTTTCTTTCACCGAGCCTGTCTTTCTACAGATTTCTCTCTCTCCCCCACAGTATCTCATCAGGAGAGTCCTCTCCCTGAATCAGTTTTGTCTCTTTTGGCACTCACCTGCAGCTCAAGTGTGAGAAAGTGCCCTTTGAGAAGTTATCTTTATAGCGACGTAGGTCATCGCAACACTTTCATCAACCTTTTATTGGCAATTATGCACACAAAAGACTGTTGATATGGAGACAGCGTAGATGAGGTCGCAGTACAGAGGGCTTTTTCTCTTTTTTTAATTGGATTAATAACAGCTATTTCATGTCATGTTTTCCTGTTGCTTGATATTAGACACTTGCCAGCTCTGAAGTGAGGGCACTTATTACAATCCTGTGTCACTATTGTTCTTAGTATGTCTGAAATGGTTAGACTGCCCCGAGTGTTCACTCTGAGAACAGCGGTATTAATTCTCTGACAGCCTCCGCTCACACAGCGCAGCTCAGTGAGACGCTTGCATCGATGGTTGCGGAGTGGAAAAAGGCATAAAATTTCAAATAAAGGAGAAGATGGCTGTTAAAGTAAAACACAGAGGGATTATGCGTCAGGAACAGGAACGCCTTTTAGAAACAAGCTTTGGCTGACAGAGCAGTCCTACATTACCATCTCAGAGGTATTTACAAGAGCGATTACTGTGATTATTATTTCAACAATACCCTGCAATGCTCTTTCATGGGCTGCCAGCCTGGGCCAGGGTAGGAGGGCCTGCCAACATCATTGGTCTGGGAATTTGTCTAAGAGCTCCATAGGAGGGCAGAGAGGAGGGAGGGAGGAATGGAGGAGGGAGAGACAGAGGTGAGATGGTAGAAGAAGAGAAATGCAACATAGTTCAAAAGGCCTTCTGTCCCTCTGAGGGGGGGTCACACGATACAGTCCTCCTAACATGATTTTGTCCTCTTTCCCCCCTGTCTGCAGCTCCCACGGAGCCTTTGCTGTGCAAATTTGCTGACGGAGGGCAGAAGAAACGCCAGAGCCAGAGCAAATACCCTCAGAACGGGAGGCCGTGGCACAGAGAAGGCGAGGTAAGGTGTTACACCGGTTCAGATGCCATCCTCCCTCACCACGTCCCAAAAGACTTTCAAAAAGAGTTCATTTTGTCCTCTATCACTGAAGGGTGCAGGACAAATCAGTGTTGTAGAGAAAATCTCATCTCACAGTCGATCTCGAGAAACATTTTTTTTTTTTTTTTTATTCTGCGTGTGACAAGTTCTTTTTCTTCAGTGAACGGCGCACATAGCACCCAGCTTCTTCAGGTTCGCTTATGAAGCTGTCAACACATCACAGATGCCATAAATAAAGCAATGGGATCACATCATCACACGACAAATGATTTCATAAGAATACAAGTAAATGATCAACAATAGAAACGCACACTTATTAGTGTCCATTAAGGGCCAATCGTGATATATTTTTCATCCCAGACTCTTTATACTTCGTTTTCAGGCGCTTTAAGCTACATAGCAATGTTTCCATGTGTCTGTTCAAGAATGGTCTCAGGTGTCGGATGTTATTGTCCTTCTAATGAGTGACTTTGACCCCTTCATCGACCAGGAGTCAGGGAACGGAGACAGGAGTTACTATCCATATGCCCATATACATCCACCTGTTGTCATGGGGCTGCAGTTCCATAACTAGGTCATGTTAAAATCATCTCCGTGACGATCTAACCAGTTCCATCCACTGATGAAGAACACGAGATGATGCTGAGAGCTCCTGAAAATAAAAATTAAATGGCTCTCCTGATAAGAATTTTTTGTTGAATTGATATTTTCAAGGTCAAGAGCAAACTTTCAAGCTCAACAATATACAATGTCAGCATAAAGAAGTACTTTTCGAAATAATAAACTGCCTTTGCACCTCATTTAAGAAGCCTGGATGTAAGAAAAAGATCCACAGATTTAAAAAAAAAAACAAAAAGTAATCCACATAACACCTTTCATTCTTAGCTGACAAAATCACACCTTTACCTTTTTCTTTCTAACTAGCTACAAGTTGTCACTGCAGCACCACTATGACATTTTCATGATCTAACCTTTGTTGAAATATCCTGTGATTGCTATTTGTCCTAATTCCTGGAATTATAGAGATTCACAAATTACCTGAAGAACAAGAGCAAAATGCAATAATTTTTCATATTTTACACATGAATACAGCAAATATACATTAAGAATTGATAACTTCATTACCCAGATATAGCCAAAATATTTTAGTTAACTGAATTAAACTCTTTCCATTCCAGCATGATGACATCTTAAATAAGGCGTTTACGTCTGAGGTAATGGCAATTACAAGAACAAACCCCACCCTCCTCACGAGGCCCCTAGAGGTTGGCAACAGAGTTGGCTATAACATCTGGCTTTATGTAAACCATTACTGCCTGTCATTTGTATTTACTCTAAAGTATAGCGCTGTTCAAAAAAAAGAAAAGAAAAATACCCCAGATATCGATCATACTGCCCCCGGATGTATAGGTGCTGTCACGTAAATTGCATCTCAAGCCAAATGCCTCACTGAACACGTATATTCCCGCCATACATCAGAATGCTGGGAAACCTGAAATTGGATACAGTGCTATGGTAACATATTCATCAGCAACATGTGGAGACAAGGTTAAAGTCTCTTCATAAGCTACATACCTTCTATACTGGGAAGGACACACAGAGGAGACAGGTGGAGGAGCGCTTCAGACTGGACGATATAGAATTACACACACACACACGTCCACACACACTCACTGAGGCTGACAGTTGTGCTGAAGCTGCAATGTAGGGGGAGACCAGGAGAGATGAAATGTTTGTCCTTCAGAATACACATGCTCTCTGTGTGTTTGTGTTGCTGGTAGAGGTCTTGAATGAGTGTGTGCAGAGAAAAGGGTGGTGGAGTATGACACCAGCCATGTGCGTGTTTGTTCGTACTGTGTGTGTGTGTGTGTGTGTGTGTGTCTGTCCATCACATGTTCAGCAGCCCTAACACCTATAAGCCAGTGAAGCGTGTTTAACCTAAATCACATTGCTACATCCCCTCGCAGGCCCACGCACTGACAGGGTCAGCTCAGTTAACTTGAGGTAAAGTCAGATGACTGTGTATGTGTGTGTGAGTGAGTGAGTGAGTGAGTGAGTGAGTGAGTGAGTGAGTGAGTGAGTGAGTGAGTGAGTGAGTGAGTGAGTGTGTCTGTGCTTCATCTAGTGGCTCAATAAGGATAAGGGGAAAATCCCACACTGCTAAAATTGAGGAAACACCCCTTTTGTCCTTTTGCCTTTATTTATTCCCCGCCCTTCACATCCTGTGCGTCACACACATTACAGACACACTGTCTTTGACCTGAGCTTGACACAGCGGCACACCATGCCACACCAATCTCCTGTAAAATGTGTTTTACAGGGAGTGTGAGGTCTATATGCTGCCTAGAAGTCATACTGAGGAGGTCAGGGTGGGTTGTTTGTTCATACAAAGCACAGGACTTTAAAACCTAAGATCTATATTTGTGTCCTGTGCCCTACATCTTAAAGGCAACTAAGACACTCTGGAAAGTTTAATATTAGAAAAGCATATGCAGCCCATCCTGCCCTAAGTCATCATTGACTTCTGAGATTTTTTCAAGACCACAATCTCTCAATGACTTTAACCAAGTGCTATGATTTGCATAAATATAACCATAAAATCTTTAATCACGCTTTAGTTGCCAGGGTGTTGAAAGGATAACACTAAAAGTGAACATATTGCAGGGATAGATTTTGGCTGTCATCATCAAGAAAATAAAAGAGATCAAATTATGAGGTAAGTTTCAAAAGGCAGAGACTCACACTTTCTGCATATTCAGACAGAATGCAAACTGAATTTTAAGAGCTGCCACGAGTCCATACAAAGTCAATACAAAAACACAATTAGATGCAAATTTTCCTTCAGCGGTACAAAACTGATGCAAAGACATATGCTGTTTGTGTAAGGTGAAGCTGTTTCAACTTAAGCAAATAAAATGTTGCACGTATCCCCAGGGCTTTATAAATCTGCTTCATAAACATACAGAGATGAGAGGAGAAAGGAGAGAGGCTGCAGGGACAGAACAAAAAGACCCGGAGTTTCTGGAGAGTTTTGAGCCCAGTTAGAGGCTGAGCTGAACTCACACACACACACACACACACACACACACACACAGGGACACTCTCACTCCCATGGTCAGTGCATCCGCTGCCAGCTAGCTTTGAGCTAACGCCTGTACAGTTGGTAAAGAAACCACCTCTAATTTCCACTGATCAAAGGCACCCATTTGTGTGTTTATCTTAGTTAAAAGTTCTTCCTGTTGTGTCAGTGAAAGAGAAATCCCTCCTTTGCATCGTTCCCCTCTGTTCCCCTCCATCCCTCTCTCTCTCTCTGGCCCCCCTCCCTCCTGCAGTGTTTCACATTACACTGCATTAAGGCATGACGGCATGACTGAGAGGCTGCAGTTTAACAGCCTGGGTTCAAGGCTTGGCTGTAGTGTGTGTGAAAATGACAGTGTGTTTGTGTCCATGTGTAAGTGATGTGTGTGTCGTCCAACAACTGTGTGTGTGTTGTTTGTTGTGGTGTGGTGTTGTGTGTGTGTGCTTGCTGCTGAATGACGGTGACTCGTGTGTGAAAAAACGTCTCGCTCTGCCGTGGTTTGTGTGTGCTCGTCCACATGTGACACTGCTTTGGCTGCTGGTACATTAATGGGTCTAGATTGTGCTCCCTAGGCTCGTTGTCGTGGTAAGTCCGCATCTTGTTTGTGGTGCCGGTTATGTGCCTCTTGTGTGTTTCCGGTCGAAATGCTGTGCCGGTGTGTGTGTGTGTGTGTGTGTGTGTGTGTGTGTGTGTAGCTGAGCATGCTCTGGTGTGTGCCAGCATTTATGTGTTTATTTGTTGTTTTGCTATCCTTGAGATTTAGACCTTCAGGGTTTTTAGTAACTGAGGTCACAGTAGAGGCTTCAGGGCAACATTTGAGTTCAGGGTTATGTTTTCAGATTAGGTTTAAACTGAGGATGGGGTTAAAACTAGTCCAGGTTAAGGAGTTGAGCTTAGCTTGAGGATTGGAATAAGGTTTACTTTAGATTCAATTTAATTTGTTGTTTGCATCAAATTGAATTATTTGAATATTTTTGATTTCACTCCCAATCCTGTTGTTGTCTTCTGTAACACATTAGATTAGTTATTTTGGGTATTTTAACCCTGCTCTTTTAAGCCACTTAGGTATTTTGGTAAGATCACCACACTCAATCCACAATGTCAAAGTGGAAGGAGACAAACATTAAATACAGAGACAAGAGGCTCTGTGGATTGAGGTCCAATGTAGGTATCAAATAATAAAGCCAAACTTTCAGTCAGTAGACATTCATCGGGGCAAATGTTAATCAAAAGCTTTTATCTGAACTATATTTTCCATGTATACTAGCATTAAAAAGCACAGTTCTTTATTTGATGTCAGTATAAACTCTGATGAACCTCTACTGAAATCTTGGCTTTACCAGTAAATACATGAATTGGACCTAAAGTCTGCAGAGCCACATAGTGTCAAAAGAAAGGCCCCTCATAAGTAAAGTGTACCATGTGTGTGCGCGCGCGCGTGTGTATGTGCTCGCGCATCCTTATGGTCATTGATCAGCTGTGCAGGCAGGGAGATAGGCATCACATGTTAGTCTGTTTATCAGAGCTGAGGCCATTCCTCACCTCACTCCCTGTGGCAGGCAGATGAAGGGGAGCAACGGCCCACACCATCCATTACTCTCTTTCTCCGCGTCTCTCCGCCTTCTCCTCCCTCCACCTCTACGGTACATCTCACTCTGCCTGTATCTCTCTCTTCCTCTCACCCTCACCCTTTCCCTCTTCGTCTTTGTTTTTTCCCCTTCTTTAAGCGCTCTCCCCTTCTCGCCATGTCTTTCTCTCTCCCACTTTGTCCCGCTGTCTTGTCTTCCCCGTGTTTGAAGTCTTCCCAGATCCCACAGCAACATATGGAGAGCGAGAGCGAGTGAGTGACTCACTGAGACTGAGAGAGAGAGACAGAGAGAGAGAGAGAACACATTGCATGATCAGTCAGGAGTTACAAGGGGTTGAGTGCTGCAGGGTGGCTGGTGGTGAGGATTGAGAAATATATGACAGATTTTCTTGTAAACTACCCAAAGTGGGAGTCTAGAAAGTGCTGTCTCTCGCCGTCTCATGCTGACAAACATATTAGTCGCTGCATCTTCTTTCTAACATGCGCACACACGCGCACACACACACACACACGCACTCACACACACACACGCAGACGTAAGCGCCATGGGTGCTCATTCTTTTCTCCCTCCCTATCTCTTTCTCTCTCCTTTCACTTCCTCGCTCTCTTTCACCAATACACACTCCTACACACAAAAACTTTCAAAGTCACACTTCTCAAGCACCTACTCTAGGGGAATGAGTGTAGATGAAAAAAAACATCCGGCTTTCCACTCTGTGTGAAAGCCTGACAGATGTCCGTGTGTGTGTGTGTGTGTGTGTTGTGTGTATTATGTGTGTGGCCACGAGGCAAAAAGAAAAAATAAGGAGTGAATCTGTGTATGGAAGGCAAAAATACAAGAAGGAAGCGTGTGTGTGTGTGTGTGTGTGTGTGTGTGTGTGTGTGTGTGTGTGTGTGTGTGTG